AGAGAAGAGGGAAAAAAGAGGAGGGAGGGGGGGGGGGGGGGGGAGAGAGAGAGAGAGAGAGAGAGAGAGATTATCTAACCATTGATTTGGTCACTTTAAAGTCAACAAAATAATTTAAGGGTTTGTTTGAGCCACATTATTTTCAAAAAAATACATTTTTCAACAGTGATTTAACATCATTCAACCACACATTCTTCAATAAAATAATATTACACACAAATCTAAAACTTTTCCTTATTTTTTTAACCATACATTCCCCATTGATTTGACATAAATAATGCATTTTTTTCTAGAATGTGGCTCAAAAATGGGTTAATTTTCAATCAATTCACATAATTAAAAGTGAAAAATAATAAGCACATGCTGTTCACCTAATTTTAGCAACCTGGCTTTCAAATAATAGTAGTGACCGGTGACCACATAGGTAATCAGAAATATAATATACTCATACATAAGAAATCATCAAGTATGCTGGAAAAAATAAACAAAGAAAATCAAAATCTGTTTTAAAATTTGCAAAATGCTATAACTACAGAGAACTGATTTCTTCACGTTTTATACAGCTACTAAAGTTTCCTAGACAACAACAATGTACTCTTAGCAAAACATCACATGTCTTGAGCATAAAGAGCTACAAGCCAGCAACTGGAGGCAAGATGTTGCTATTTTAACTTTCTAATGACAAGAGTTTTGATCTTATAATGCTTTACATCTTAAATATACCTCACACTCCCTCCAAAATAAATAAATAAATAAATAAAAGACGCAAGAAATTAAGGAAAAAACCTGACTCAGCAAGCCACCAAATTTATTCTTCAAACTCATCATTTTGTCAAGCCCCTTCTCTAATGTTGAAGGGAATTGTAACAGGCGGAGTGTGTGCCCAGTTGGAGCTGTATCAAACACTATCACAGAATAATCCATTGTTTGCACTAACCTGAAAAAGAAATTTAAGGGATATTTTCCGTAAACAAAATGTACAGAGCATATCTATACACGATCAGTCATTTATATCCAATGCATAGTTGAAGCTATAAGGACAATATTAAAATAGTTTCATTTCTTTCCAACAGATCATGTGATCTTATAAATGTTAAATTAAATCAGCTGAACCTAAATAAATGTGAAGAAAAAAGGACAAGGTGAAATGTAACAGAATTTATCAGCGTTCAAGTAGGGTGAGGTTTGCATTTGGACATGGAAGAAACTTGTTACTCGCCATAGAAATATAGACAAAATTTCGTGGTAACTTGTGAAAGTCCATAGAACTATGATTTTTAGGCATACCGTGTGCAGGTTTCCTCAAAGTCAACAGCCTGTGTGGAGAGGGCTACCATTATTTGCTATTATCGACAATTTAACTCAGTCTTATCATGTAAAATGTGAGATCATCTACACACAGCATCTTCCACTACTCCACCCTTTCAGGAGCAATGTCCAAAGATAAAGTAAAAAGGATTCAATCATTTACTTCCTGTAGACGGGTTGCCTAATTTCATGTTGTTCCTTGCTAGCTTAAAGTGATTGTACACCCTCCGTATATTCTCTTTTAAGTAATAAAATTATCTGATTACCTATCACAAAAAATAATAATAATAATAATAAATATATAAATATATAAAATTTATTTGTTTAGACAGGAAGTTTGACTCCTTTTTATTTATATGATTTTATGGGATTTTAAGTTGACCTCTTCCTTTAAGTTTGCAATTAGTGCTCAACCAATCACCTTTATAACCGGTATATGAGCAGCCTGCACTAGATGCGCCAAAATAATTTCGATCAGTCACCATGCTATCTATTGTCAACTACTACCACTTCAACAAACTGATGAACGTGCTCATTTCTCACTCAATACTTCCCCGGTTTCCGCAGACCAGTCTCAATATTCTTATCTCAATCACAATTCTCTTAGCAGCCCAACTTTCGGTCCACGTAAAAGATCCTAGAACAGTCCTGTGAAATTTTCTTATATTATTTTGTTGATGAACAAATGCCTGACTTATTTCTCTTTTTAACCTAAACAGACATTTAGATGTCTCCTAAGGTTCTTGTGGGGAATCAAAGTGGAAAACAATGGATATAGATCACAAAGAATCTTATTACTTTTTTTTTTCCCTCTTTTTAAAGGTAATCAAATATTTTATTAATCAATGCATAATACACGGGAAGTGTATTATAAGTTTAAAGCAGAAAGGAACAACATAAAATTGAGCATCCCATCTATATGCCTAGTAGCTACAGCATTAAATCACGTATACAATGTAAAATAAAACATTTCTCTAATTTGCTCTGCTTTCCGTGTCTGATCATCAAAGCAGCGGCTGTTTCTTTCTCTCCACATACACCAACAATGCAACCCGAAATAAGGCCCCATGCAAGCTTGTAATCTTTGTCGAGAAATTTTCTCCTCCATGCCTTTAACACGTCTTCCATACGCCTCGGCATCACCCAATCCATGTGTTGTGATGCCAAAATATTGTGCCACAGTAAACGAGCAGCATCACAATGGAGAAACAAATGATCAATCGTCAACCCATCCCTCTGACACAAATAACACTACTCTGTAACATAAAAACCTCTTGTTCGTAGATTATCCATCGTTAACACCTGTCTCCTGACCACCGTCCAAAGTAAGAATGCAACCCGTGGAGGCAATTTACATTTCCACACCGATTTCCAGGGGAATAAACTCTGCACAGGACCCAATAAAGATCTAAAATAAGTGCCAACTGAGAAAATTCCATCCCGTGTCAATCTCCACCTACTACAGTCTGCCTCTCCTGTCCTGATGCGGACCTCGTACAAAGAAGTCAAAAACAACGCATAATCGTCCAATTCCCAATCCTGTAATCCTCGGCCAAAAACAATATTCCAACTGAGCCTCCCATTATGTATATCTAAGACATCATTCACCGTAGCAGACGGTGCCAACACAATACGAAATAAAGAGGGAAATTTCACCTTCAGCGGTTGTTCTCCACGCCAACAATCATCCCAAAAACTGATGGTAGTACCATCCCCCACTGCAAAAGTCAATCTATCCTGAAAATCGCTCCACCCTCGCCGGATATATCACCATAAGCTCACCCCGTAAGAATCGCAATTTTCACCTGAGCACCATCCTCCCTCCATGACACCATATTTTGCCCCTATTATTTCTCTCCAAAAACTCTCCCTCTCCACACCGAATCGCCACAACCACTTGCCCAACAAGGCTTTATTGAACAGTACGATGCTCCTCAATCCAAGACCCCCTAAACTTATGGGAGAACAAACTACACCCCAATTAACCATATTAATTTCCTCTCCTCCCCTAAACCTTCTCAAAGAAACTCTCTTTGGATCATTTCTAACCTTTTTGCCACTACAACAGGGATAGGAAACGATGATAAGAAATAAGTAGGGAGATTTGACAGTGTGGACTTTATGAGAGTAAGACGACCGCCCTTTGAGAGGTACATACGCTTCCAACCTGCTAGCCTTCTCTCTATCTTTTCTATAATACTGGTTCAAATATGTTTACTCTTAAAACGTGCTCCCAAAGGAAGACCAAGATACGTTATAGGCAATTCTGCAACCCTGCAACCCAATATAACAGCCAACTCTTCCACATTATCGACCTCTCTCACTGTGATAGCCTCCAATTTTCCCAAATTTATTTTCAATCCAGATACGGCTTCAAAGCACAAGAGCACACAACGTAGGTTCCTGAATTGCTGAACATCTACTTCACAAAGGATCAATGTATCGTCTGCAAATGGCAAATGAGATACTTGCAACTAATCAACCATAAAGCCCCGCAACAAACCTTCTCCTACAACCTTCTCAAGCGTCCTGCTGAAAGCCTCCATTACAATGACAAATAGCAATGGAGACAAAGGATGCCCTTGCCTCAATCCCTTGCTACTACAAAAATAACCCTTCGAGGTGCAGTTCACCATAACTAAAAAAGAAACTATAGATATGCAAAACTAAATCCAATGACACCACTTATTCCCAAAGCCACATCGCCTAAGCATATACAAGAGAAATCCCCAATTTACATGATCATAAGCATTTTGAATATCAAGCTTACATAGCATTCCTGGGACTCGTAGGTGTAATCTTGAGTCAATACATTCATTTGCTATAAGTACAGAACCTAAAGATCTGGAGCCCTTTGATAAAGGCATTCTGAAACTTAGACACCACTTTCCCCAGTACCTCTTTTAATCGATTTGCCAAAATCTTTGCAATAATCTTGTACACCCCACTCACTCAGCTAATAGGGCGAAAATCCTTAATATCTGTTGCTCCTGGTTTCTTAGGAATTAGCACAATAAAAGTGGCATTTGCACTTTTCAAGAACCGTCCGCGCTTGAAAAATAAGTAAAAACCTCCACGATGTCCGATCACACCACTTCCCAAAAGGCCTTATAGAAGGAGAAAGAGAATCTATTTGATCCTGGGGTCTTATCGTCATTCATGTTGAACACGACCCTACAAACTGATACTCCACATGTTGTCCCCCCCCCATATGCTATTCACAACCTCCCTCGAAACGATCTCCAATTTTGCTTCTTGTAAACATACATGATCAACCCTCCATCCCCTTAGTAGATTCCGAACCCCTAACCTTTTTCCAGCTTCAATAAGCCCCCTTACGTTCCAACTAATAATGTTCGGAGTCATTTTAACACTCCGTCATCCCTCCCCATCAAACATCTCCTTGATTCACAACCCTTGACATCGTAATTAATCGAACATTTGAGCCGTTTAAGCTTGCGATCACCCTTTCTTCTTGTCTTACATCCTAATGTACCTATCTCTTGTCCCTTATTAGCCTCCAACTCCTCAAATAATTGCATGAGCTTATTTTCATACCCATCAAAGGATACACCTACCATCTTGCTAAAAGCTCGAATTTTCTTTAGAACCCAATTTGACGGTGGAGGTCCGGTGTCAAGTGCGCTAACTTTCGCCATCTCCAGCAAAAATAGGATCATAGTAGTGTCCAACCTCATCCTCCCCCTGTACCTCCATGTCTATTACCCCTTTCTTGGCTCCACCTACCCATACCACCAAAGCATTATCATTCCCAAGATCCCCTTCTTTCGACGACTTAGGATGTCTCCTACAGTAGGTATTCACTACCGTGGCTGCTGAGTCGGTCCTCCCTTGCTGATCCTTAATTGCCGAAACTAAATTTTCTGCCAATACAGTTCTGATATTTAGCTCACGATCCGGCAACGACCTCGTTGCTTCCAATATCTCAAAATCCACAACCGGGTCCCATGTCTCGACCATTGGGTCCCTATCTGTTCCTTCCATGTCTTCCCAATCTCCGTCACCAGAGGAAGTCACCACTTCAGTCCGTTGCTGAGACTCGTCACTGGGCTTAACCACCACCTGCTTATCCTTTGTTTATGCTCGTGTCGACGATAGCTCCTTGGAGTCCAAAATAGCTACCTGATTTCCATAGGCAAAAGACTTGTCCAATTTCATTCCACACTCATGGCAATAAATCTTTTTGGATTCCACTACAGATCCTCCTCCCACAGCATTGATCAATTCATCCAATTCCACTTTCAAGGTCTCGATACGAGCTATTAATTCAGCATTAGGATAACATCTTTGATTATCATCACTTCCCTTATGTACCAATGCTCGCTGATCGGCATTTTGCGATGCCCAGATGTTTGTTGTGACTCCGGCATAAGTCATCCCTTTTCGGTTCCTTTCTTCCTCTGTTCGACGCTTGACCTCATCTCTGGCAATAAAGGAATCAATAACTGCTTGGAACACTCGTGAAACCGATGTCCATCCCTCTCCATTCGCACCTTCCGGCACCATCACAATTCCTTTTTTCCGCCGATCCCCATATTGTGCTATCATCAGAAACCTACCACTCCTGTTTGCACATCGTTGTGCCAAGAAAGCTCGAGAAGACTTATCAAACTTAGCAACAAACTCCTCCAGACTGGCCTGCATCAACTTATTCACCATGTTCACCATCCAAACGGCGCCAAATCGGCCCATGCAAATTGCATCCGATATCTTCAATCCCCATTCCGATAGCTTAACAGTGCCGGAAGTATTAACAGACACTACAAACATCTTCGCCTCAACTCTAAAGCGTGAATTGAACAACATATCATTAGCTGCATAAGACTATATTCCATGATTTTGTTCGAGCTAGTTGATGACGGAACCGATGCTCGAAATGGCCTCGAAGCATCACGAGAGACCCGGAAGGA